GGTGATGAGTGTTTTGACTAACCGCTCAAAGCACTTCATGATGATGGAGGTGAGTGCTACTGGGCGGTAGTCGTTGAGGCTGGTTTGACTTTGACAGGAACGATGGTGGAGTGTTTGAAACATGTGGGGAAAAGGGGAATAAACATGGTCCAGTGTATTTCCGCCGCGTGTCGGGCAGCTGATGTGTATCTTCCTCTTATTCCTTTCTTGTGCTCTTGTTGCTCTCCTCACCAACATCCCCTCGTCCCTATGCATGTGGATCGTGTTAAAATGCAATGAGAGGTTGAAATAAATGAAGCAAAGCAGGATGTGGGAGGCAGTAAATCAGGTTCAATTGAGTCAGGAGTTAAGTTGACTTTCAAGTTTGTTCTTATTCTGAGAAAAATAAATGTTAAATAGATGGTAACCAATAAAAGATGACTAGGCAGGTGATGAACTAAAATGCTCTAAAAAGTAATGTCTAGTGGGAATCTAGAGTGACAATAAACATCTTTCTATTTCTGAAATGACTTAGTCTAGTCCAGTCAATAGCAAAAAGAAAGCAGCACATGGTGGGAGCCAAAGAAGCCTTAACATTGGTTCCAATGAAGAGTTTCGTTTTCCGGAAAGTTAACACTTTAAAAGAAATGGAGCAAAGAAATGGTAAAGCAACAGAAAAAATATCTGTAGCAGCCATGCAATTCAAATGTATCAGAATCATCCTTGAAACCAACCCAAATGTAATTGAATGAAATGTTATGTTTGATTTCATCATTTAAAAACCCTCCATCTCTAAGACAATAGAGGGGGGGGGGGGGCAGTTGAGATGAAGATGCAGATGAGGAGTGGGTTTGTCTTATCTTCAGATAACAGAATGTTTCGCAGCAGGATCACATATCCATGAGTCCGTGTTCGAGAAGACTCTTTCGGGGCAGAAAACCAAATGGTTATCTGTAACAACCCAGTAGTATAGAGCTATAACTTCAGAACCAGTCAAATGAATTAAAAAAATGAAAGAGCACTATTCTAATTTTGCATAATTACAAGTACGCAATGACAGTGAGTCCAGGAATACTTGAGTTTTTCAAATGACCAATGTAAGGTATAAAGCTTACAGGGCAGCTTGGTTACAACATTCTCCAAGGCTGAAAGGAAGATTACTTTACAGGAAACTGATAACTTCCATCTTGGGAGGCTTATCTTGTGCACTATGATCCACTTACATAATGTGAGTGCACTCAGAGGCTTTTCGAGGAATTCCACTGGCTGTTGAATCTGCTTCCTCCCCGCTGGAGGACCTCAGAACCACAGTGTGTCCTTCAGTTCAATTGGAGACTAAGTGAGGGAGGTACATGCTGGAGCAGATGGATGTGCAACACATTTGCCATGGTGTTATTTGTAAATATAATATGGAGCATCTCCTTTATTGAAACAAGCTCTGGGTACCAGGCCTGAATACTTTTGGGACCAAACCAAATGTGTAAACTCTGACAGGACAGAGAGCTATTGGTCAGATTTGTAATCAAGTTTGTTTTTAAATTAGATTAATTTCATAGTTAAAGGTGGACTGATATATATCAGAAACTTAACTTACATATATTTTTAAATATACAATAAATCAAAAAAATGTGTTTGTGATATATCAGACCGGTGATTTTTAGCTTGTTATATGGTTCTGCGAAAACATTTATTATTAATGCTTTAATTAAAAATGTAGCACTTTCAGGGCATTCCATTGAAGCTGGTTTTATTAGGACAAAGCTGAACATTTGAGATGTTTTGCTGATTTTGGTCAATTGAGAAAAGGGTTTTATAGAAACTGTAAAGAAGCTTAGATCGGCTACGTTAACTTAAGGTTTTGAAAAAGTGTTTTCTAAGTATATGTATGCAACCCTATCAGATACAGATATGGCTATTCTTTAACTATATGTAGGTTATATAGGCTTAGCCCTCCACTGAGGATAACCATATCGGATACAACGGCCTTCAAATGAATTGAATCTGCAGTTCATGTAAAATAGATTAAGCCTAATGCAAGTCAGCAGCCCGGAGCAGGTAGTGTGTGTGTGTGTGTGTGTGTGTGTGTGTGTGTGTGTGTGTGTGTGTGTGTGTGTGTGTGTGTGTGTGTGTGTGTGTGTGTGTGTGTGTGTGTGTGTGTGTGTGTGTGTGTGTGTGTGTGTGTGTGTGTGTGTGTGTGTGTGTGTGTGTGTGTGTGTGTGTGTGTGTGTGTGGAAAAAAATGAAAAGTGTATTTATTTTTCACTCACTACGACTCCAGAGACATTATTCACAGGCAGGACATGTCATATAAAATATGTATGTGCTATGTCCTCACATGGGGGTGACCTTGCCCCCACCTCGTCTTGCACAATGACCCCCACTGTGCCTGTGAGTGACAGCGTGAGCAGGGTTAAATATACATGTGCTATGTGCTTTCTGCTATTCAGGTGCGACCTTGACTGCACGTCATGTTTTACAATGACTCACCACCTAAGTGTGTGTGTGTGTGTGTGTGTGTGTGTGTGTGTGTGTGTGTGTGTGTGTGTGTGTGTGCAGGTTCACAGAGGAGTCACGGAGCATGTTGACCAATCCAAACATCTTCTCTTTGCTGTTATTTTTTCCAGAAATAAATAATGGAGGGAAAAGAAAGGAGTGGTTGTGTTTTTGCTAAAGGAGTGGAAAGATAGAGCGATACTTCCCCTGAGGGTGTGGCTGGTCTGTGATGTCATGTGGTTGCCATGGTAACTGTGTGTTGTCAAGTGGAGACAGTGATTTTGAGTTCCTGTCATATGTTTTCAAGAGCCAAACAATAGAGGCACACACACACACACACACACACACACACACACACACACACACAGGAAAACAATCAGACGTGTAAAACTGCCTCTGCTCACCAAAACGCCTCCTCCTCTTTTAACTGCTTTTCAAATGAATGTCTATAAATAGATTTGTATGTGGGTGTGTTTGTTTATGTTTCTCTAATGATTTAGTTTATACATATACTGTACTAAAACTAATATAGTATAGCACAGTACAAAAAGTATAGTGCAGTGTAGTACAGATCAAATTCTATATGTTTTTCTTTGAAGGTAAAAGGCCAAAATGATAACTAATCTAAGTGTATGCAGACCACAGTCTATGGTGCAGACATGCTAGCATGATACATTCAAAAACACATAAATAGGAGATTTAGAAAAATGGAAGACCACAAAACACCAATTTATAAAACAATACAAATGTTAATGTCTACTACACTGCTTGAGCTCCAGATCTTTCCTTCTGATTAGCACTAAACACCATTAAAGGTGCCCTGATGACAGGTGAGGATCTCGACATGAAGATGATAGAAAGGGAACATGACGTGTCAACCCTGAATATCTGTACCACAATTTATATTGCTCACACAGAGCAGATATTAGCCTCATAGTGGTGCCAAGGGAAAAGTCGGGGGGCCAGAGTCGTTGGGACACATCTGTGGACTGTGGATGTCAGAGTATCAAGACACTTCAGTCATCAACAAGATATTTCAGTTTGAACCCAAGTGGTGACGCTCATGGGACAAAACACACAAAACAATAACATATATATCCTGTTGCCAGGCAGAAGCATTAAGAAAGGAAAAATGGATGCCTGTTGTAATATTTAGTGTGAATGCTGTGCCACAGCATTCCACTATAGTTCTTTGAATCTTTATTAGTGCGAATGCTGTGTGTAGCTGAACTGTCAATACCCCAAAACATATTCTTAGATATAAATTAGAGCTGTCAAGTTAATGCGTTAATAACGCGTTAACGCCACTAATTAATTTAACGTGCGATTAACGCATGTGTATTTGTCCTCGGCCCGCCCCGTAGTTTCAGAGCCCAAAGGCTTGACGTTGTTGTTGTTGTTGTTGTTAGTTGGATGGTGGGGGATTCTAGCGAGATATATGGATAAAAGAAAAGGTGTTTTAAACAGCAAGCCCAAGCCCACAGCTGATGCTGACAGCCCCGCTCCTGCCGCTCGCTTGCGGCAGACCACGCTTGAAAGTTTGCCGGGGAGACGCCTGGACACTTCTACGAGCAGCAAGCTTTCAACAGCGATAGCTAAATGGGTGGCTACAGCTTAACATTGTGGAGGACGAGGGACTGCGTTAGATAATTTGGATCGCACACACACACACACACACACACACACACACACACACACACACACACACACACACACACACACACACACACACACACACACACACATTGACATTTTACCAAAAGCAGCAACCGTTTTTAAACTATAGTTAGAAATGTAAGAGGTTTATTTCTCCTTCAGAACAATGGAAAGGCTCTCCTTTCACAGCACATCACTATGGTAACCTTTGATCTCTGGGCTCACTTAAACAGGTGTTTGTAAACATTCATTCACTACTACTTACATCTGATATGTAACTCCTTCAGCCTACTTTCAGCTATAAACCATTCAACTATTAACTTATTCAGCTATTTCAGGACATTGAGGCTATACATGTTGTTGTTTATACCTTTTTTAAACCTTTTCTTTTCAATATTAAGCTTCTTCACTATTTTTCCTCCTCTTCCAGTTTAACATTTCACTTTCAAGTTTTCAACAAAGTCATTGCAATGCATTTGAGCTGTAACAATTTGATTCAAATCATTTCACTTTTCTGCATTTCTCTGCTAAGTTCAGCAACACACGTACTTGGTCTCTGTAGCTACAAGCAGCTACCATTCAGCTAATAACATATTCAGCTTTTTCTGCATTTTCAGCTCAATTCAGCCAAAATGTTCACAGTTTACAGCATTCACACGCATTTTCTGCAGGAAATGCATTTTCTAGTTTGCACTATGGCTTTGCTTTGGAATTAGCTTAAAGATGTAAATGTGCAGGGAAGCATGTGTATTTCCAATGTCTCATCTCTCTCACACTTCTTTCCATTTTTCTTTCGATCTTTCCCTTCCCCATTATCCTCTCACCTTTCCACAACCCTCCACCCTCCCTCTCTGCATTCCAAACTTTCTACAGTATGTGGAGCTGAGTTGGCCCAGGGAGGCTTCTTCGTGCGTCAGGGGGAGTACATCTGTACTCTGGACTACCAGCGAATGTATGGGACTCGCTGCTTCAGCTGCCAGGACTTCATTGAGGGGGAGGTGGTGTCCGCGCTGGGGAAGACCTACCACCCCCGCTGCTTCGTCTGCGCCTCCTGCAAGTAAGACACAGTGTGACACACTTCCACGTGTCAATGGCTTACACTTTTAGGCAAACAAGACCTAAAAGTGCTGAAAAAGATCGACTCAATTTAAGACTTGTCAACAGCTCGAGCGCTTTCCTTACACCTGCTCACAAGTCCATCGCTCATTTCTGTTTGTCAATGCAACATTTAGTTTTTGCCCCTTTTTGTAAGACAAATTAACATCATTCTGTTCATGTGTTTCTGTGTGTGTGGCCACCGTTTTTTCTCAGGCCTGGAAAGGTAACGATAGCCTCCCTCAGGCAGGAATTGTACGTGTCGTTAGCCCATTCCCACAGCTAGGCCACAGTGGGGGGGGTTTGCATGTGCCTGTGCTATCATACATTGGTGATACCCTTGGTCATACCCATGCTGAACCTGAGATCACAATGTTCCAGTGTGGCTTTGAGGTTTGTAATGTGATCATCAAAATCCTGTGCTCTTATCTTATAACAAATATTGCTTTTGTGATAGCCAAACACACAGGCTTATTGTGCAGAATATTAAAATAGGGCAAATCAATCAATGTAGGCCTACTGTTTTTACTTTTTATACATGAATCATCTATAATCTCAGCTCAGCTGTGTTGGAGCGGCACATACTTAGCCAGGAGACATTAACTTTGTTTCATTGTGTATATAATATTCCTCTTAAAAGTATAATGTCTATAAAGGGATTTGGCATAACATGCTGGTATAACACCCCCCACCAGATGTTTGCTGCAGAGATATTCTCCTATTCAGTCATTACTGAGGCCAAACACTGATGTTAAGGTCTAATTCTCAGTACTGAAACTGGGAAAAACACATCTGTGTGGAACAGGCTTTGTACGAAGGGGTATTGTCCTGTTGACACAAAGTTGGAAGCACACCATTTATTGTGCAGAACAAAATATGTGCCGGCAAAAGCGCTTCAATATTGGTCTCTTAATGTGACCAAGCTTGAATCAATCAGTTTAGTTCTGGGGTCACATTTTCAAACGTTAGTTACAAGCTTGGTTCGGATGTTCGAAACCTTTAGAAGTTCACTTATATGTAGATGACTGTTTTACTCACTGCTCTACTCTCTCTACACTCTTTTGTCTTAATGCCTTCAGACATACAACTCTGTTTAAGATGATGCTCAAGTGTACCACCGTCACCAAAGGACACAAACATTTGAGAAAAGGGGTGTCCATATCAATTCCAAGCTAAAATAAATGAAATAACTATTTGACAATGTGATGTTTCACACTGGGTTTTTTGCAGATTATATACTTGAGTAATTTAATACTTATTCTCATTAACTCAAAATCTCTCTACATTTTTTATTTAAAGTACAGAAATATATAGATTAAATGTTGCTGCTTCGTGATAAATACATTAGAATAGTTTTGACTTCGTATTTCAGATCAGAGAACTCACTCAGGTTTGGGTGTATGTAATTATTGTAACTGCAGTGAAACAGTGTAAAGCTCCTCAGCCTCTGAAGCAGCCTCCACTCTGTTTCAGAGGCTCAGGTAAACTGTGTAAGCTGTGGGCAGCACACAGGGATCAGTCTGACCTCCTCCTCTGCTTCCTGTCTGCAGACAGCCGTTCCCCGCCGGCGACAGAGTGACATTTAACGGGAAGGAGTGTATCTGCCAGAAGTGTACCGAGCCCCTCCCTGCCAGCAGCCCAGCACCCATCCAGGCCGTCCACAGTCAGTACCCTGTCTCTGTCCCTGACCCTGTCTCTGTCTCTGTCTCTGACCCTGTCTCTGTCTCTGTCTCTGTCTCTGACCCTGTCTCTGTCTCTGTCTCTGTCTCTGTCTCTGTCTCTGTCTCTGTCTCTGTCTCTGTCTCTGTCTCTGACTCTGTCTCTGTCTCTGTCTCTGTCTCTGTCTCTGACTCTGTCTCTGTCTCTGTCTCTGTCTCTGACTCTGTCTCTGTCTCTGACCCTGTCTCTGTCCCTGACCCTGTCTCTGTCTCTGTCTCTGTCTCTGTCTCTGTCTCTGTCTCTGACTCTGTCTCTGTCTCTGTCTCTGTCTCTGTCTCTGTCTCTGACTCTGTCTCTGTCTCTGTCTCTGTCTCTGACTCTGTCTCTGTCTCTGACCCTGTCTCTGTCCCTGACCCTGTCTCTGACCCTGTCTCTGTCTCTGTCTCTGACCCTGTCTCTGTCTCTGTCTCTGTCTCTGACCCTGTCTCTGTCTCTGTCTCTGTCTCTGTCTCTGTCTCTGTCTCTGTCTCTGTCTCTGTCTCTGTCTCTGTCTCTGTCTCTGTCCCTGTCTCTGTCTCTGTCTCTGTCCCTGTCTCTGTCTCTGACCCTGTCTCTGTCTCTGTCTCTGTCTCTGACCCTGTCTCTGTCTCTGACCCTGTCTCTGTCTCTGTCCCTGTCTCTGTCTCTGTCTCTGTCTCTGTCTCTGTCTCTGTCTCTGTCTCTGACCCTGTCTCTGTCTCTGTCTCTGTCTCTGTCTCTGTCTCTGTCTCTGTCTCTGTCTCTGTCTCTGCTCTGTCTCTGTCTCTGTCTCTGTCTCTGTCTCTGGCTCTGTCTCTGACTCTGTCTCTGTCTCTGACCCTGTCTCTGTCTCTGACCCTGTCTCTGTCTCTGTCTCTGTCTCTGACTCTGTCTCTGTCTCTGTCTCTGTCTCTGTCTCTGTCTCTGTCTCTGTCTCTGACCCTGTCTCTGTCTCTGTCTCTGTCTCTGTCTCTGTCTCTGACCCTGTCTCTGTCTCTGTCTCTGTCTCTGACCCTGTCTCTGTCTCTGTCTCTGACCCTGTCTCTGTCTCTGTCTCTGTCTCTGACCCTGTCTCTGTCTCTGACCCTGTCTCTGTCTCTGTCTCTGACCCTGTCTCTGACCCTGTCTCTGTCTCTGTCTCTGTCTCTGACCCTGTCTCTGTCTCTGACCCTGTCTCTGTCTCTGTCTCTGTCTCTGTCTCTGTCTCTGTCTCTGTCTCTGACCCTGTCTCTGTCTCTGTCTCTGACCCTGTCTCTGTCTCTGTCTCTGTCTCTGTCTCTGTCTCTGTCTCTGACCCTGTGTCTGTCTCTGACCCTGTCTCTGTCTCTGTCTCTGTCTCTGTCTCTGTCTCTGTCTCTGTCTCTGTCTCTGACCCTGTCTCTGTCTCTGACCCTGTCTCTGTCTCTGTCTCTATCTCTGACCCTGTCTCTGTCTCTGACCCTGTCTCTGTCTCTGACCCTGTCTCTGTCTCTGGCTCTGTCTCTGTCTCTGTCTCTGTCTCTGTCTCTGTCTCTGACCCTGTCTCTGTCTCTGACCCTGTCTCTGTCTCTGACCCTGTCTCTGTCTCTGTCTCTGTCTCTGACTCTGTCTCTGTCTCTGTCTCTGTCTCTGTCTCTGACCCTGTCTCTGTCTCTGACCCTGTCTCTGTCTCTGTCTCTGACCCTGTCTCTGTCTCTGTCTCTGTCTCTGACCCTGTCTCTGTCTTTGTCTCTGTCTCTGTCTCTGTCTCTGTCTCTGTCTCTGTCTCTGTCTCTGACCCTGTCTCTGTCTTTGTCTCTGTCTCTGTCTCTGACCCTGTCTCTGTCTCTGTCTCTGTCTCTGACCCTGTCTCTGTCTCTGTCTCTGTCTCTGACCCTGTCTCTGTCTCTGTCTCTGTCTCTGTCTCTGTCTCTGTCTCTGTCTCTGTCTCTGACCCTGTCTCTGTCTCTGACCCTGTCTCTGACCCTGTCTCTGTCTCTGACCCTGTCCCTGTCTCTGTCTCTGACCCTGTCTCTGTCTCCTGTGGCCTTCTCTCCAAACAGAAATCATGCCAAAAGTAGACTTGTGCTCCCTGCAAACTATGATCCGTCACACTGCTTGTTATCCTCATTTTGTGCCCCATCCCTTAAATTGGAACTTTCTTAAATTGCGTTTAGTCTTTTTCTCAGGACACCAAAATGTCCACTGCTAGTTTAATCGTTTTGGTTCATGAAACCAAATTACCTAAGAGGGAACTGCCATGCAGAGACAATTATCTGATCCAAATGATCCAGAGAACCGGGAGAACAACCAGGGCCCTCTGGGTAAAACTGGCATTTTTAATCCTGAAACTGTCAGAAATTGATTCAGCATCCTCAATAATCCCAAGCCCATTCCCAAAGTGTCCGAATCGGCCAAGCCATTTCTGAACTATTGTCTGCACAGGCTATAATGCTAATTAACGCATTTTATGCTAGTCGTGCAAATTGCCCAACATACAATGCAAGTTACTTTACATTTGTGACATAAAACTCAACATTTCCAGGTTCACAATGCTGGCAGACTATTAAGTGTCATATGTATTGGAATGTCCTCTTCTCTGCTGTCCTCTCCCCACAGATTGCTGCGGCTGTGGGAAGGAGTTTAAGAACGAACAGTCTCTGGTGGCACTGGACAAGCACTGGCACCTCGGCTGCTTCAAATGCAAAGTGTGCAACAAGGTGCTCAATGCTGAGTACATCAGCAAGTAAGTCTGGAGCTGCTGTGAGCACACTGCTCCATTCATATCACACCTAGTACTACTTGTCATCGGGTTAGTGTTGGATGTCACTCAGTAAACGTATAAACTAATATTAAACTAAATTAAGTATCAAAAGTACTCGTTATGCAAAATGGATCTTTACAGTATTCTATTATTATGGTTATTATATTATCCTGATAAATGCATATAGCATTTTTATTTTTTTAATTTAGCTTTATTTGACCAGGATAGGTGGAAGAGAGTCCTGGCCCTAGATAGGCAGCAGCACCGTTACAGACAACTTCAAAGAGTCACAATCACAACCCAATCACAGCCAAAGCTTTCACACAACGGCCTGCTTCAATGTGGACCAAATGTAGATACTAGAAATTCTGTGTGGAAAAGTAGTACAGCACTGCATTATACCATATCAGCAAATTGTGTTTTTATATGTACAGAGTAAGTGTGAGGGTTACAATAAATAGAGTACAATATTCACCACTGAAATGTAGTGGAGTAGAAGTATAAAGTAGATTTAAATGGAAAAGTAAAGTACAGATATGTCAAAAAAGTAAATATACTTAGTTACTTTGCACCACGTGTGAAATGTGTCCTTGTGTGTAAAGCTAACGCTCAGACAGGACTCTGTATCTGCTGCTGACTGACCTGCTGACTGTGTGTTTCTTAAGGGATGGAATCCCTTTCTGTGAGATGGACTACCACGCCATGTTTGGCATCCAGTGTGAGAGCTGCAAGAACTACATCACCGGAAAAGTCCTGGAGGTACCATCACATAACTAAGCACTTTTAGACCTGTAACTAATTCACCAGCACTCACAACGGTATGACTTGCTTGAGGTGAATCTATCTGCACTTTCTTTGTTGTTGCTTTGGTTAAAAGCGTCAGCCAAATGAAATGTAATGTATTGTGATGATTATTGATGGATTTAGAGATAAATACATCGACTAGAATACAGGTCAGGTCATACAGGTCATATACAGCTATTTAGCCTACTAGTGACTGCAGCTAGAAAAAAAGAAAGAAACACAGTTCATTTTGTTCAGAAAAGGCATTCACTCACACTGGTGCTTTGACCCTTACATAGCCTAAGTATATACTATTGATTCTACTGTGTCATTTGCAGGATCAAAATATTTAAGTCTTTCATCAAGTCTGAGATAATAGTTTTGCAAAGTGGGGTATTGGAAGTTAAAATGACCTTTTTTTACTTCCATTAATAAAGATAGCAGGCTGAATCAAAGAGTATTTGATGACATTAACAAGTTGTGTAGGCTACTGTAGATAAATAGTTTAGCGGTGAAGTTGGAGACTACAGATGTATAAAAGCCTCAGCCTGGGCTCATGGAATTGAAAGGACAATACTTGCAGGTGGAAAGAGAGACTAATGTAGCTATTGAATTGTAGCATGAGACGTTTCTTTCTGTCTTGTACTGCTATCATCTTTTTCATAGTGTTCTCTCGGCTGTGTGTTGGTCCACAGGGAGTCTCTCTCTCTCTTGCTCTTTTTTCTTCGACCTCTATATAATCAGACTTGTTTTGCAAGGACTTTGAAATGGGGCAAGTCTTACATGTGCAAGTCATGAGCAAGTCTCAAGTCTTAACCTACAAGTCCCAAGTCACTGTGGTGAGAGTCAAGCAAGTCAAGTCAAGTCATTGCTCAGGTCAAGCAAGTCACAAGTCAAGTCATACGAAATTCTGATGAATAAGCCCAGTTTCCACTTTTAAATCAGTTAAAATATTGTGGTTATGAAAAGTTTATTTTTATTTTCAACATAAACAGCAATGGAGAGTGGGGCGCTGAAATGATAACCCTATAAGTTCTAAAAGGGCTCTAAAGTGATAACAGGAGTACAACACAAATATTTGACTTCAACATGTTAAGCCTCCTGCCCTGGCTCCCCTTCAGCAGGGTCACAGCATTCCTCCATGGTCTGTCTAAGGTGCTCCCATATGACACTGTCTCATTGTTTTCCTAACTGTGTCTGTGCACAAAGAAATATTGCATCAAAGCCAATACAACGGAATAGTGTATGTACCAGGGTGCATGATATGTGTGTGTGTGTGTGTGTGTGTGTGTGTGTGTGTGTGTGTGTGTGTGTGTGTGTGTGTGTGTGTGTGTGTGTGTGTGTGTGTGTGTGTGTGTTTGTGTTTGTGTGCAGACAGTGCGACATTAAGATTAAACACATTTCTTTCATTTGGGAACACGGAGTTGGCCAGATGTGTGTCAATTACTGTTCATGGTCATTTGAAAACATATGCCGTTGTCGGACACACACAAACACGCCAAACACACACACAGAGCAGAGCAGAGCACAAAGACACACACATCAGGCGCCTTAGTGACCGGACATGATGACTATTACTAGTTTTATAAAACGAGTAATAGGGGGATTAATCGGGCAGTTCGATGTGTGTAGAGGTGTGTGTGGTTAAAGCGTAGCAGCCTGCGGTCGCTCTTTAGCTGTTCTAATGAAAGTCAACACAGTGAAGGCGTTGCGTAAAAGGCACAGCTCTTTGCGCGCTGGTGCTGCACTTCTCAGAGGCGGAGTCACACGTCCCGCTGCCTCCTGGTGCTGTAGCGATTCCATGAAGTGAATGAGAGTCCGAGTTCGAAATATATCTAAAATAATGTATGCTCTGCCATTTCATGTTGGGAAATGGCAGAGCATACATTATTTGTATGCACTGCCATTTCCCAACGTTCCCAATGGAACGGCAATGGAACGGTTGTCTCCTGTGTGCTCCACTTCCTACTTGGCGCTCTGGTAACTTTCTCGTGCGAACGAGATACAGTATATATATTTTTTTTCATTGCCCTTTAGGGGCTCCGTACAATACAAAAACAAATGCAAATATTTAATTAAAAAAAGTCCTTTCGAGTCATCTGTCTCAAGTAAAGTCTCAAGTCATGAATACCAAGTCAAAGTCAAGTCAAGACTTTTATCAATGTTAGTCAAGCAAGTCTCAAGTCCAAAAATATGCGACTCGAGTCTGACTCGAGTCAAGTCATGTGACTCGAGTCGGCCACCTCTTGGAATTACTAGAAATGTTCAAAACAACATCCAATATGTTTTTTATAAATATGTTAACCATAAGACTGTAAAATGAACTATGTTATAGCCCTTATTAGAATCATCCGGTCCTTAAAGTTGTAAAATGCACTAAAAGCCGAATCTAGATTTATTTTCTCTCTCCATTCATTCTAGTGAGCCGAGAGTGGGAGCTCGGGGGGCGGGGCTTAAGAGGTGCATGCTCTGTGAGCGCACATACGGGTTCTTCTGCTCTGACAGCCAGGCATGACGGGTAATCTGTGACGTTTCGCTCTCTCAAAAGTTGGGGCATTTTGTCCTCATGCGCCAATGAGCAGCTCTCATAGGAAAGAACGAGACCCCGCTTCCGACGCGGTATCCAGTTCTTATTATACATCCATGGGTACGACGGAGCTGATCCAGATTTGCATCCGATATGACGTAAATCACGTCATATCTGAAATGTGGACCCACGGCCCTATCAGAAACGTTGCTGTATCAGAAACAATGCCTGACGTGTTTTGGACGTAATATAGTCTGTGTTTACATTAGCAAGCATCGCTAACACTCAGAGCTAACCTGTACTGGAGAGAGTATGTGTGAAGAAGCAGGAAATAAAAAAAGGTCTCACCTTGTGGTAAACCCGTGAGAGAGAACTGTTTCAGAAATAATCCTTGATGTGGTTTGGAACATGATGGCGTTTAATCACGGCAGAATTTAACAGTATCTGCCGGTAAAATTCTGAGCAGGCATTAGCTCCCCCTCCTCTTTTTTTTCTAGAGACATTATTCCATGACGGTGTTGAGCATTCAGCTGTGTAATTCCCTTCCAATGTTTACCAGATAAGGTCATCAGGGTTAGCTGGTCTTGGGAGTCGGGAGGCCTGATCATTTATTCCGGCAAATGACTCAGACCTCCTAATTGACCTAACAGAAGTTATTGAGTAAGTTTACTGCTTGGCTCAGATCCACCAACGTCAGCAAGATCTCACCTCTATTAACTCCTGAAGAACCAGGTTCAATTAACTGCTGTTTGAATTCAGACGACCCGCTAAATCTGTTTAAGCGATCCCGAAGGATTTTGATATCAGTAAATGAGGTGTGGCCCTACCTAAGTGTGAGTGTGGCAGTGTGCAATCTTACCTTTGAAGCAGGAGAGGAGAGTGCAGATGTCTTTCAAGTTGTCCCAATCCAAAAGGTGGGATCAGTTTATTTGAAGAAAAATTGGTCCACACTTGAACAGGGTTTTTATCTTCTCTCGTTACAATATGACAATAATATAAAACATATCATGCTGTGGTCATTTTCTAATCTGAAACCTTAATTCATAGTTTAGACATTAAAGTCTTCCGACATAATCCAAAGGAATCTCCTCACGGATCTCCGGGACTAACATTCACACCTATAGCCTGACAACATTCAGAGGCAGTTCCTCGTAAATGGTCAGTGGGATCTAACAGTTTCAAACTTTCATCCAACAATTCACTCAGCATTCAATAAACAGAAATGTAAGCAATATTTACCAAGTTTGAGAGAACCTTACCGAGGGGAAACCCAGCTCTCAGGGAGAGAGCTTACCAGGGGGAAACCCCCCCCCCCCCTCTCTCGAGTTTGCTCCCTCTCTGCTAGTGTTTTTATGCTCGAAACGGGACAGAAAAACCTAAAGACACCTCCTCCATACCCATATGTGTGGAAACTGGGCATGGCCTCTAGTGTGCAGGACTTAATATTATTCTCGGCTATGGCACAAACACCTTTTTGGGGCCTCAGTCTTTCTCCAACAAGTCAGGAGCCCCCCCCTCCCTGTGTACCGCTGTGAGGGGAGAGGGAAGAAACTGTCTCCTCTTTCTTATCAGTGACACCCATAAACCATAATAGGCCTTACTCTCAACTTAACAAACCACTTGTGTTTTGTTTATACTGTAAATATAGAAAACCATAAAATATGAAGCATTTTCATTGTGGGTTATACAAGAATATAATTGATTATATTTGATTATAACTAACTTTCGTTTTAAGTGTTCAACCTAATATGGCTATCTCAACACTGGTTATCTAACAGGAAACACTGGTGTGGGGGAATTTGAAAATGGCGGGCATTTCCCTAGCAGGGAATGCAAATATGTTATTGATTTGCATTATGTCGGACCCTGTTTTTCATTCCAAATGAATGCTCTTCTGTTCTTCGACTTTAGATTTTTTCCCACATCTTAGTGTACAATTTTTTCCTTTTTAGCAATTAACCTATAGGCAAAACAAGTCATAAAAACGTGCTGATGGTCAGAACCTGCTTTTGATTGGTCCTCACAGGCTGGAGAGAAGCACTACCACCCCTCATGTGCCCGCTGTGCCCGCTGTGAGCAGATGTTTGCAGAGGGAGAAGAAATGTACCTGCAAGGTGAGATCAGTTTTTGGATCTGAAGAATAATAGGCTTCCAATCTTTGATATGTTTTAATAGCTCCTGCTTCAAGACAGATACTGTGTCAGCCTTTCTGGAAAGTGTTGAATCCTAAAACACTTGACTGTCCATTGTTAGACAAAAACTAATTGAGTCCCTCTAGACTCTGGTAAAAGTATTACATTTCTATATCTCAAGACTAAGATTCTGTAACCATGCTAGTAGCTTAAACAAAACAAATCTAAATGACCTCTAATGACCTCCAAGCACAAATTGAAAGTGAAAAATAAAAGTGTTATCATTAGTCTTTTAGGCCTGAATCATAAACAAAAAGATTCTAGTAAAGTTTCCATCCATGATGTTGACCATCAGCTGGCGCCAGAGAGGGGATCAGGGACTGGATTGGTTGTTGGGTTTCTCACAAGCAGTGGTGGGCAGTAACTAAGTACATTAACTCAAGTGCTGCACTTCAGTAAATATTTAAGATACTTAATTTACCTGAGTATTTCCTTTCTATGCTACTTCATACTTCTACTCAACTATAATTTGGAATAAAATATTGTTCTCTTTACTCAGGTTTAAGTACCAGTTTCTATGCAGGTTCTTATTTGATTTTTTTTGCATTTTACATACTTGGTACTTTCAGTCAATTTTGATGATAATACTTTGTACTTTTACTTGTTCCAGAGTATTTCTACACTGTGGTATTATAACTTTGACTTGATCTGAGTTCTTTTTCCACCATTACTTTAAAGTGTCTCACCAGCTTTGTTGGCCAGTTTTAGACCCAGGTGAAATGTTGGGAATAATCCCAGTTACTGTGTGCGTCTCTGTGTCTTCAGGCTCCTCCATATGGCACCCCCCATGCAGACAAGCAGCCAAGCAGGAGGAGAAGAGCAAGGTGGGTGGAGAAGACAACAAAGAGACAAAATAATTACTTATTAATATTATTGGTTTCTTAATTGTACAGCTAATAATGAAGCGAGGAAAATTGCTTCAAATGATTGGCTAAGGACACAAAAGTAATTCAATTGAACCTCTCTAATCGAAATTCCTTAACAACTTTCCAGACTCCTGATAAAGCCTGCTAAATGTCTAAAATGTCTTTTTCTTTATATAGAAGAGATCTAATGTAAATCACAGTCATAGTCAGAAAGACTAAATGAACATTTGAATGATATGTAGTGATCATCAGACATGGACTAAAGTGCTCTGTCTATATTCAACACTACAGCGTTTCTACATTTGAGTCTATGACGTTTTAATGTTAGTATTGGAGTTATCTAACAAAAATCCACCAAGCTGTTCAAATGACAAGATCATCCTCAAGACAAACAGTACACACATGCAGGATTTGAGAGGAGAGGAGGGTTATTTACAGTTCAGAACCAACAGCCATTGTTTTAGCATTTCATCAGAACCCTGCAGCTTTACATCCAGTATCTGCCCTTCCTTCATCTCCATCCTTCTCCCGTCATCGTAACCCCTCCCCCTCCCCCTCCCAGAAGCAGGTCCGGATCCAGCTCACTGAAGTCCCTGAGCAGCAGGTTGGTGTGAACATCCCACCTGAGCCCCTCACCCCCACCCATCTGCTGCATGGGCTCTCAGAGCTGCTGACACCTTCCATAGGCGCGTTCACACCGGAGTACTTTTACCCGTACTTATCCCGTTTAGTTCCGATAGTGCCTGGAATTTTGCATTCACACCAAAAAGAGAACTTAGTTCCGAGAACTTTTACCCCCATTTTTAGTGCCTGCTAGAGAGGTGGGACTATCCTGGGGAGAAAAAAGTACCAATTTCGATTGGCTGGGCGAATTGCAAACCACGCCCCGTAGAAACTCTGAAAAGTTTTGTGAAGCCGCCATTGTATTTGCTGGCATTAGCATTATTAGCATTAGCCCTGCGCACCAACGGAGAGAGAATAACTTATGGCAACACAAAAAAAACATGGGAGCGGTGGAGTGATGAGGAGGTGTCGGCGTTGTGGCGATTTACTCGGAAGCCAGTCCCCAACTCCGGGGACTCCGGGTGGCAGTATACGCCGTGAAGTGGTTTGCGGCCTGCCAGTAAACCCAAAGCAGAAGAAGAAGAAGTGACGTCAGCGGCTTCATTTGCGTAATCTTCCCTCAGGGAACTTATTCCGGTGTGAACACGATCTGTACTTAGTTCCATGGGGGTACTAAGTGCTGGGCACTAAGTGCTGGGCACTAAGTGCTGGCACTAAGTGCTGGCACTAAGTGCTGGGCACTAAGTGCTGGCACTAAGTGCTGGGCACTAAGTGCTGGCACTAAGTGCTGGGCACTAAGTACGGCAAAGTACTTGGTGTGAAAGCAAGTACTTTGCATGCTTCTGTAGCTGCTCCATGTAGCAGCAGCCAGCAGGTCTAAAGACCTTTGATTGGTCAGTGACTGATGATGCTGTCCCATGCTGATCATCAGTCTGTGCACGTACAGGATGCTCTAACATGAGTGATGTGTTTCAGTACCTGCATCTGTAGGATGAATGAAGAGATTAACACGCACACAACTGGTCAGAAACAGAGGCCTTAACTTAAGATCAAACAAACTGATGAGGAAAGGTCCGCTCTGTCTTCAACATGTGATTTAACACAACTGATTGATATCCCATGTTAGGCAGAGCTTCACTAATCATAATTCACTGTGCTACACACATGTGCTGTTCCAACATAATGAAACAAAAATGTGCTCTTTGGTGGGAAAAAATTATAAAAAATGATTTAAAATGTAGATACTTAGATTTGAGTTAACGGGATAACATTTGAACCTTTATATATTAGTAAATGGAATCTATCTAGTGTTTTGAATTGTTGTAGGACTAAACAAACAGTTGGAAGATGTAACTTTAGATTTTGGATAACAACAACAAAAACCTAGTTTGTTAATTACAATGGTAAACAAACGATTATGTACATAATGAACTGCTTTAATGTGTTTGCTTAAAGGACAAGAAAAATGGGAGATTTAAAGTGTAAATCAGATCCAAATATCTTAAGCATGCTCTTAATGGAAAAAACGGTGATAGATAACTCTTTTTTTTGTCACCTGGCCTAACCTGTGTGCATCTCATCTATTCAACGTAACTGTGTGTGTGTCAGGTGACCCGGACCTCCTCTGAGAGCATCACCTCGGTCCCAGCCTCCAGCGCCTCAGGCTCCCCCAGCAGAGTCATCTATGTAAGACTGCACACACACTCCTCACACACACTCCTCACACACACTCCTCACATCCAGGCAGGAGATGCTCAGTGTCCTGCAGCATACGAATGATCTGTCGTATTGTCCAATACATGTTTCTCAGAAAACAAATATTCCAGAACATGATTGATTGATTGATTGATTGATTGTTTAGGAGTGTTTCTTCTCTCTGCTGTCAGGCCAAACTCGGAGAGGAGATGCTGGACTACAAGGACCTGGCAGCCCTCCCAAAGACCAAGGCCATCTACAACATCGACCGGCCAGACATGCTGTCCTACTCTCCGTATGTCAGCTTCCCGTCTGAGGAGAAGCACTACGGAGAGGTAGAGCCCCTCACAGCTCTCAACTATTCCTCTTTCAGTTCCTCTTTATAGCTTTACATCTCTTTCTGAAAATCCACACAGTTCAAATTCTCTATGACGTCTTTCATTAAGAATTCGTACATAAGTATGTACAACCCAATGAAAGGCTGCATCGCTGTTTCACAACTGTGTTGCCACAAGAGGGCCCTATATTCTTTCAATATAACAATAATACATTCATTTTGAATGCACATTATTTCAAGTGATGACAATGGCTCTATTCTTTCAAGCAATTGAATTGATCCAAAAGGTTTCATGGTTTTTCTATCCCACACAGATAAAAGTTTGTCATTTTCATTTAGCTATCCCTACATCATTGTCACCCACTCTGACAGTAAAGTCAGTAACAGTCATTCAGCGACTCTTGCTCACACAAAAAGCCAATAATAACTCTCATATCACATGAGTGTGTCTTAATCATTGGCCTTCTCCTCTTCTTCGTTTGCAGTCCCCACAGCTGCTTCCTTCTACCCCTTCTGAGGTAATTGAATGCACCACGTCCGGAAGGTGGGGGGGGGGGGACTTGCATCTGGGTTAAGATTCTGAATGAAGATCTTTTCAGCGAATGGATTTCTTAAAAGGCTAATAAGGGTTTAAATGACCAACACAGAAAACACTGTTTCAACTAATGACACCAACATGTTCACTTGCTTAAAGAATAGCTACATTTCTTGAAGACTTTGGTCTGATGTTCTTAATTTTGGCATCAGCTATGATAACATATAACACGTATTATACGTACTAAGATAAGGTTGTTTAGTGCTCCAACATCTCTTTAAGAATGACATGTTTGTTGTTGTTGTCTCATCACAGTGCTAGCTGCATACCAACATTGCATCTCTTATCTTGGTGACTGCAAGTGATGTTATAACCACATTTAAACTGTCAAACATTTAAAAAAGAACAAAGTTGTAATAAACTTCAATTGTTCTTTAAAATTCACAATTGTATTGCCTACATGTTTATGTATGTGTATCAGAGCAGTGGTTATGATCAAATCAAACAACAGAAAGACTAAGTTGTCTGATAGTGAGTTATCCAGAGCAGAGGAGTGGATCAGTTACACAGCAGTTAACACGGCTCAAGCTTTGCCAAAAGCATCTTAGTCAATTATTGCTCCAGTTTTAATTTTAAATTTGTATCTCAATTAGAAATAATTAAAAGATCAATTGTATATTTTCTTCTCACTGTGAGTCATTTATATTTTAAGTTTCTCAATTCAATATTCAGTTATAGTGGCTGTTGCACACTGCCCCCTGCTGGCTGGAGGCCTCTGTGCTGCACTCATGTGGGGTCTTTCCGGCTGAAAGCATCATGACAGGAGTCTAACGCCCCCCCCCTCTCGTTCCACCCTAGGTTAACACAGTTCAGTACTTTCCGTTAGCACAGTTAGCAACTCGTTGCTGGCTTTGCCTTCAGTGTGTGGATGCAATTCCTCTGCACTGAATTTTGTATTGAGAACCTTTTAACTCATTTCTACTAAAGAAGTAGTACATTCTGTGGAGTATCTACAGTGACAGGCTGTATAAAAACACACTGCTATAGGGAATAGGAATGTGACGTCATCAATAGAAAGTCAGCCATCTTTGGAGGGTACAAGCAAACACAACCCATTGACCTGTACGCAGAGCTAGTGTACCTTTGTCCCTTTTTTTGAAATATAGTTGGTTGACATTGTGGTGTCGTCGGCTGTAACAGTCAATCCCACAACCAACATCAAAACAAAAGAGGACCATGGGATTGCATTTTATTCCTTTTCAACTTGAAAAGTTAACGAGGGAGAGGTATCCGATATCTTGGCTTTGTGTGCCAACCTTCAAATGAGTGGAAAGAGATTTGAAGTGAAGATGAGAGTGTAATGGTCTTCCTTATTAGTCCACTGCTAACTTGACATGATAGTGATGTCTGTCTTCATGTTCTCTGTCAGAGTCAGAACTCAATTTGCAGAGGCAGCTTTTAGTTGTTATGAACCACAAGCTTGGAACAAACGAAGTTCTGAGGTCCGCCCCAACCCTGGGTTCTTTTAAATCAAGGTTCAAAAGCTTTCTTTTGAATGCAGCCTACCCTGAGATCCTTTAACCGTGCCTTATCATTGCACTTTTAGCTGCAGCCACTATTTGATTGCTTTTATGAATTGTCTTTTATTTGTTTGTTTTTGTTTATGTGTTTGTTTTGTTTTTCATTATTATGTGTTAAGTGCCTATGTGAAGCACTTTGAATTGCCTCTGTGTCTTCAAATGTGCTATAATGTACAAATAAACTAACCTTAACCTCCGTATATATAACCTAGATCTTTGTAAGCCTTGATTGACCCGTCCCATTATGGGGTGATTATGGAGTGAGGGTCAAAAAGCACTGACCTCTTTACTTTATGTGTTTGTGTGTCCAGGGCGATGGGGAGAAGTCCCCCCGTCAGCGGAGGCCCTCCAGCCCCAGCTCCAACAGCTCTCTGGGGGGCTACGGACGCTACACCCCGTGCCGCTCCCCCCAGAACTACAGCCGTCCAGGTACCAGCCTGGTGCACACACATTACACAGAGACGTTATCCATATATTGCTGTTGTTTTGTGAAAACCTCTAGGTTTATTATTGAATTCTGCATTTTTGAAGCATTAGCCATGATTTGTGTAAGGTGACATGCACATGTATTAGGAAACAAGATGATTGGGAAAAATGCTTGCTTACTATATTTAGAACACATCTGCTACAAACATCCAAAATGAAATTCTCATGTATTCTGAGAAGATTTCCGGATACCCAAAACCAGAAATGAAATGACATGCTTCTCTACTGCGTGATTAAAAGCTGCAACCCTTCAATTGCTCTGACAAAATCCATTGGATATTCTGAGAACTGCATGGTTGTCAAGCTAAGTTAATATCTGCTTTTAGTCTGTAAATATGTACCCGTCATTGCTTCATTATATGTTTCATCATCTATCAAAAGTTGAATCAAGAGTTTAGAATCCCTTCTACAGATTGTACCTACGACTTGATCCCTCCAGCTTCTTGTAAGACTTAAGAGCTTCCACAAAGTGACTTGTTTTTCTCTGTGTGCAGATACAAAATAAATAGATGCAGTATTACTTTAGGTTTTATTATACTTTATAGGCAAATAATCAAACTAAATCAATAAAGATAATGTATGCTATAACATTATCTCAACATCAATACATACTGTATCTTTGACAGCTGTTTACTAAAGATTGTCAAGTCATTTGATTGGCTTGAAAAAGATATATTATGTAAAGGAGAAGTACGCTAATTAGGCAAAAAGCAGGTGAATCTTTTATTAATGAAGTGCAGTATGTGTCATACAGCAATTTCCTAAGCTTGATAAAAAGAGGCTTTAAAATCTAAATATGTATTGTATCATTCATAGTTTAATTTCATCAGTCTTGCTTTTATTTTCATGCTAAATTGCAACAAAAAAGTAACTGTAAAGATACACAATACTTTCCAACTTCCATTAAAGATGATGTTTGATCTGATTGGACGTTCAGGGCCAGAGGTAAGCCTTGGGGGTAGACCCAGCAGCCAGGCCCGAGACTCCAGCTCTCTCCCCCTGCCTCCAACCCTCATGGGGGCCGTTAGGTGCCCCTCCACTGTGGCCAGGGACTCACCTTCTGTCCCTGCTCACTGTCCTGCTGGGGCTGAAGAGCGTGGGGGTGGTGGTGGCAAGTTGTCGCCCACACCAGTAGTGGGCAGTGCAGGCTTGTCCTATCACCTGAACCCCACCACCCTGGCCATGCTGCAGCAGCACAACTACATCCCTTACATCAGAGGTATCAAAGCACGCTGAGACCGACCAAGATCAGGTCCAATACAGACAGTGGACAACTTGTCAGAACTTCTTTTGATGTCAAACCCTAGACAAAACCAAAAACTGTCATCCTTATTAAGAACTCATATTTGAAAGGGGATTCATAGTGCCCCTAAAGCACAGTTTCTAATGTGTTCTCCAAGCTGAAAAGAAAATGTACAAACTTTGCATTAAAGGTAGGGTAGGTAAGTTTGAGAAACCGGCTCGAGATCGCTAGAATTTGAAAATACACAACCGGAGAAAATCTACCACTTCCTTACAGAGCCCCTCCTCCAACACACACGAACGCGCACATGACCAATGAGGGCACGAGATAAGTTTGTGCACAGATGGAAGGCTGACAGGCAGGTAGGCCATCCAGTTATTTTAGCCGGGCTAAAATGATTGGTCATGCTTTTTACAGTACTACGGCTTCCACAGATGATATTTTTTTATGGATTTATTGTCAAAGCACTTCAGATATTCATTGCTATCGGGATGTTAAGAGCATTCCATGGAATATAACAAAAAGTGTATCTCGAGCCGGTTTCTCAAACTTACCTACCCCACCTTTAATGACTAGAACAATGGAAACAGCTTCCCTACAGCAGATCAAATCAGTCCTCTCTGTATTCGACCAAAGGTCTTTAAGAATGGAGTGCTGTGATATGACCACTGAATTAACTTCACGTTGCATGGGCTGGGGTCTAGCACCAAATTCACCATGTGTTGGACACTCAAGATGAGTTATCCCGGTTCACCATAGACCCATTACTCATGAGGAGAAAGGGAACGCCTGGGCTGCTGTGTTGCATTTGGGTAACCACAGTTAGATCGTCTTTGAAATCAACATCACAAACAGTACTGTGCACATTCCACTTGCACGCTGTAACTCCTGCAGAAAGGCTTATCCAACCACCTCCCTTTGCTTCATCTTCTCCCCATCCCCTGATCTGCCCATCCCTTCAGGGTTCAAACAGGACCCCCTCCCTGACTCTAAAGCTAGGACATCCCTGCATCTCAGTTTACCTCCTCCTAACGGTAAAACCCCTGAAGTCTTTCTCCTCTTTGTGTCTCCCTCCCCAGTGGAATGGAAAGCAGGTTTTGTGATGTTGTTGCCCAATATTGTGGTGTTGTTGGGTTTCATTGGGTGCATCGAGGTACATTGGTTGGACCACTCAGTGTTCTCATTTTGCTTGTTCACTTGTGTCTGTGGACGTGGTGGTTGTTTTGCATGGTTTAACTTGAACCTAACACATTTGGCATTCGGAGGAAGGTTGATAACTTCATTGTTGTCTGCCTTTGTCTGATCTGCCCTGTTGTTTTCCTGAATGAACACTTGTTTGTTGTCCTTTTGTCCTTGATGTGATTATGAACGAGAGTTGAGGCTTTGTGTTTTGTTAACTGATCAAATGACAGCGGTGTGCAGGGAGGCTGAAGATAATGATTGGTGAGGCCTTGTTTTTGCAGAAGCACAAGAACATTGCCAGCAAATGCATTCCCTAGAAACGACTCTCTTGACTATATTCAGCGACTTATTTTTAAAACATTAGGTTAGGGCTGTCACTTTAATGTTAAACTCATTTCAACCCAAATAGCTTTATCCTGAAATAGATTGTTCAATCACCATTTGTACATTGTTATTTTGAGAGGTCTACCTCAAGTAATGTTCCACCTGGTCTGAAGGGGCCACTGCCTCCAGAGCTGCAACAGCCTTACCTTTGAAAAGGGATGTTCAGTACGGTCCAATAAAGTCATCAAGCTCCAGGGTTTGACGCACAGAACAAGACGGCACAAGGCATGCATTTCAACAAATAAAGTTTTTTTTTCTAATTCAAAGGAAAAGCCCTATTTCAAACAGTACCTAGTGCACCAAGAATGTTCCAAAGCCATGCTTTTACCCACAGAACCCTTACAGTAGGAACACATGTGTTTCACATATGCTAGCTTGGATCTTGTGGATTAAAAGGAGGAGTGGGAGCTTTCACTTTTGCACAGAAAAATCACAAACACGCGTTCAAGGGTTTTGGTGTTTTTTCCTTAGCAGTGAAGAGAGGCTGAGAGGGGAGTTCTCCAATGGGAAAGACGAAAGAGAGGAGGAGAAATGGACAAAGGAAATAGCTTGAGCGACAGAGTAGTCATTTGGGCTCTGGTTGCCAGTTCCAGTGGAATAAAAAAACATTGGTCGTTGTTCTTGTTAAGGCCTTAACTTTTCCTTACATGCCGTGAAAAAGATGAGTTTTTATACAAAAGGCTTAAACTTGAATGAGCTGTCAGGTTTCCCTTATAAGTGTCATACTGTAGAAGGCGCTGTGGGAGTATGACTTCAAGTTACAATCTCTCCGACATATGGCAATAAACGTTGATGCCGGTTTGTGATTCTTCCAGGGCATGACTCCCAGTTAGTACTACTGCAATTCAAGTGTTTTCATCAGTGGGCAATAAGCCCCATTTCCATGTTCTTATCATCCGGCGATACATATGGAAGTAACACACACTGAACTGTTTGAAATAATGACCTAGAGCTGTTTTGTATCATTTGGAAACTTGAGAGAGTTTATGCCCTTGCAAGGCTAAATAATGCATGCTTTTTTTTTATCATTTCCCTACTTCTCTTATTTGTTGTTAATGAACCCAAAACTCTCTTCCCCCTTCTGTGAATGTGTTATAAGGTTTTGATTAATTATTGGCTTTCACCTTTTTCCGAATGTTTAATCTGCTCACATCAATTATTACACATCTCCTCCCTAAACTCCCAAAGCCTCGAACAACTCCTATCAGGGTCCAGATCGCTCCAGATGTGTGTGTGTGTGTGTGTGTGTGTGTGTGTGTGTGTGTGTGTGTGTGTGTGTGTGTGTGTGTGTGTGTGTGTGTGTGTGTGTGTGTGTGTGTGTGTGTGTGTGTGTGTGTGTGTGTGTGTGAGATCAGTCACCAACACTAACAGCCTTGCTGTGTATGCAAGTGATCTCATCCACTTGCATCAGGGTCTCTGCTGATGGTCCCTCTGTGTCTGAGGGGGCAGAGTGTGTTTTCAATCAGCTCACACTCTCTCTCCTGCACACTGTTAAACTCTCTCTCTGCTGTTTCTTTCTCTAAACTGGATGTAGAGTGTTTATTACTTGGTGCCAGTGCCTTCATCACCTAGCCTGCCTGTGATGTAACAATAGGAACACATAAAGGAAGTCAGCTAAATGTTTATGAATGTAACAATCTCACACTCACAACAAACACAACAAACTATTGGCGTTATCCTAATGGCAATCATAATAATACACAAAAATGTCATGACTTTGTAGTGTAAAATATTCGAGTGATGAGGACACAACCTCCATCCCATGCCAGTTTACTCAAAGGTCCGTGGTTCTGGTGCTACACCTAACCCGGGCCTAGTGCCGGCGTGTTTCCACATACTGCGCATTAGGTTGTAATACAGTATAGAGATGAGAGCAGTCTCACAAACCTACTAGGGTCTTTTTGAAAAATATCCACGATCGGCATCTCCAACTCTCTAGAAAATGTTTGTCACCTTGAAAGTATGGTAGTTCAAAACAGCATTCGTAGACCCTAACTGTTTCCATAAGGAGGTCTCATGAGTTTTCGGTGTCATTCGGTAAAACAAATAGAATTTGAAATAGAGATATGAAGAATGGATCTACTATATCTGATAGCATGTAGCTTTTAGAGTACTGTTGCTTGGCAATGATCGGACCAACATGAGGTTGATTAGCCAATGGAGAATGCCTTACTGTGGGGGGAGGGATTACAACACCAAGCTCACCTGCTGCTCGGGGCTCTCCAAGAGGATCTGGAGATGTGGGGGGGATCAATATTTGGGCAAAGCCACTACATAGCCTAACAATATCTATGAAATAAAATGCTATGGGATGTTTGTGTCTCATTACCTAATATTTCAGTGAACCTGTAGGATTCTCTAGAAATGCATTAAATACACTTTTAAGTACAATAAATACAATTACAGTATATGGCTGGGTAATCAAGTCACCTGCATCATCTTAATATTAACAGATGTTTTCTTTGAGCATTATCAATATGCCTACCATAATGCTGCCTTTTTGCCCCCCCACACCCTTTGTTTTATCCCAAACCCTTTCCCTTTTGCCTCTCATCTGCAATGCCTACCCAACTTCCTCCCCTGAAGGCAGTGAGAGTGGGCGGAGCACCCCCAGCTTATCCACCTATTCTGATGGCAAATCCCCTTCCTCTACCTCGACATATGTGGCTGCTCCGCGGCATTTCCACGTTCCAGGTAGGCAACAACCACACTGCTCGGCTTGCAACTCTCTCATTTCCCTGCATCGTAACACATTATACGGCTGGCATTAGTAATACAGAGATGAATTACAAGGTAAGCTATACAATTGTAACAATGTACTATAAATATACAAGCTCTCGCAAAATAACTGTTGCCAACTGATTTGTTAACTATAACAATCTTTTGTAAAAATGTAAGTATTATTTTGTAACTTGATACGTAGGTTTAGGTTAGGTTACCGAGTAGCATTGTGTCCTGACCTGTGACTGGAAGATAAGAAGCTCTCTGTAAATCCTCTTTGCTACAGGTTCAAACGTCAAGCCTTGGCAGTTTAAAAACATGTTTCACCAATATGAGGGGTTTTGGACCCCTTTCTCCATGACTATAAAGTTCAACAGCTATACCACCGCTTTGGTATTTGTGGGTTTTATAAGTGAAGAGTGTAGAAGCATAGAAACAGAGCCTTTAGCCGTGACCTCAGCACTTGGTATGTTGCTCCATGATTTGCTCAAACAGCGTTTCAAGGGGTACGTTTGAAAAAATAATTCTACCAAATGTGTCTTCTAACTAGAGGGAATTGTATAAAAGGAAATACTTTAGATGCACATCCGGCACTTTCTATGTGCTAGGGACCTGTAATATACATCTCTAACATTAAACATTGGTCCTCAACATTTCCCGGTTCACAGCCTCTAGAATAAAAGAGCCTCTCATTCATAAATCTAAAAAGAGTGCTCATACTGTTTGATGGGGACAATGTGTGGTTTCTTATACTATTGAATTGTTTTGCATTAAATAACCTCTAATTCAGCAAAGACCAATATCATTGATATCTTTTTGAATATGTTGCATGACAAATATTGTGTCTGATTTGCAATTATAAAAAAAAGAAAAATGTCTTGATTTGTAACCAATCCTGCGGCCCCTTTGGACTTTGTTTTCAAATACCTCATCCCTCAAAACGGCTAACTCATGCTTCTTTTTCTCCATTCTCTTTCTTTCTCTCTCCCCCTCTCATGTTGGCTTCTTCCTTTGTCTTTCCTCTGCGTCTGTTCACATCTTCAGAGACTCTGGTCAAAGATAATATCTATAGAAAACCCCCCATCTACAAACAGCATGGTACAGTCTCCTCCCTCCTAACACCCTCTGGTCTGGTCTCTGCACGATGTGTTGCATGCCGCCTGCCCTCAGCACCTCGTGATGATCCCTGTTCATCTATTTCTCCTTCAGTAGAACCCATGGAGCTCCATGCATAGGGCTGGTGTAAGAGCACTGCAGCGAGGGTCTTAAACCCACTATAGCTGACCCTGGCCCCAAAGGATGAAGCATTCACATATGTTGCAATTCTAACCACATTCTAATTAGTGATGTCACCAGGGATGTTTTGCATTAGTTAGCAAAACACTTTCTGTGACATCATCAATTGAAGTTGTGCCAGACTCTAACATGATTGAACGTTTCTGCTTCTAGAAGCCTGTGCAGCTGTTGGCTCAATGTCAGCCCAATAAGAGGGAGCCCAGTTCCTCCCTCTAGCTAATATCAAGGTTTGATCTGACATGGCAATACAGCAACACTTTGATTTCAGATTGTTATAATCAAACCCATTTGGGACTGATGGTTGTAAGAAAGGCTCTTAACTGTGCATGCATGTCTCTGCACTCATCTCACCAGCCCATGTGATGGTTATGACTGTGTGTTCCACTGTGACGAGTTGAGCACATGATCCCTTTGGATGGTGGCATCACTGTTGTACCGGTCACTGTTTCGGTCACGTGTCTTCTTCCCTCACCATTGTTTGTGTGTGACAGTTTATGCAGAGCACTTTTCACTTTAGTTGCCCTCAACATATGTGTTCACATGACAGGGTTACTCAAAACATGCTGACATAGATCTCTTATCAGCTACATCATCCGAGTAAACATTCCTCTTGATTGGATATGACAGGTTAACCAGCTGCACACAGCATAGCCCTACAGATGGATATAACTGCTGTCAGCATCTTGAGAGTGTGTGTACACGCAGACATGAGGTCACTGACAAGGTGTGTGCTGTCTGCCAAAACGTGTGTCGGGGGGGGGGGGGGTAGTATTTATCTTCCTATCCAAGGTAAGGAGTGTATCTAATGATTTAACCTTGGAGTTGTGTAAATTGACAGTACATGGACAATGGACTACACTTCTTTGTGCGGGGCTATGAACTGATAAAAGATCATCGTTTTTTACCAAAGTTATTTAGCTACATCTGTGTAGCATTTGTGCTAACGCTTTAGCAGGCATTTGGTTAGTGGATCATATCACCATAGACATTACCATTGACCAAAATAAATAAAAGGAAGCTTAATCTTTGCAAAAGAAATCATGCTGTCCAAATCATCTGTTCTCTTAAACTGGTCCTTGATGTCAAAGATTAGAATAATGTTGACACGAGAGGTGCTCCACGCTTTAATGCAATTTAGTTGACATTGTTTGGATTGAGAGCCATGGATATTTGTGTGTCATTCCTCACAGAGAGCATTGAAGAATCATTTGAGATTTGTTTGTGTCGGCTACAGGATTTATTGATTCCATGAGACAGTTTATGAATTGTGTTATTAAGCATTGTTTAGTGTTATGTTTTCCCGTAACACTTAGAGGATAGTAGTGGACAAGCAACAGCACATTAAGTCAAAGTACAAGAGCCTATTTGCTGAGTAGCACAGATTGCCATGGTTACTAAACCCAGGATAGATTAGACCGTCTGTAATGTTGTAATGGCCGGTGTTGTTGATTTCATAGCAATTGACTAATTCCATTGAAATACTTGTTGAGTGAAACTCTGCTCAATGTGTGACCCAGCACATTAACATCTGACTGTGTTCACAGCTTCTAGAACATCCTGGCAGGATGGGGAGGATAGTAAGGTGGGTCTACGTGTGGATGCGTGTTTTTGTCTTTCTCTTTTCTAGTCATTTTCCTAAACTTTACAAATACTGTACATCCATTTACTAATGAATTAACTCATACTTTGCCATTATCCAATCATCCATCACCTCCATCTCCCCCCCCCCCCCCGTCTCTCTTCCTCACAGAGGACCAGTTGGATGATTTTAAAGAGTGAGATAGATGGCCAGATGGGCCCCGAGGAGCTGGACCCCTGCAAGTCCACCTGCAGCCTGCCCACCGACACCTCGCAGCCCAGTGAGGATATCTCAAATTCAGCCCACTGTCATTAACAAGAATCCAGCAATATCCATAGTGATAGATAGCTCATGTGTATGGATGTGTTTCTTTATCAGATTTCCCCTACAATAAGACTGCATCATTACCTGGCTATGGGAGGAATGGCATCTACAAGGTGAGCTGCAGCTGCAGAAGGAAATGAGAACTTGATACTGTCCACGGTGCTCCAGAAACACAATCCCTTTATTAGTCCGCAGCGGGACATTTACAGCACCACAGCAAAAGTGACATAGCTGATAAAAAGGCAAGCAATTATTAAGTAGCTAACATGTTAAATATAGAGAAAAAGCACAAATTAAATAAAGACAATAAAGTACTAATCCATGCCTAAAGAAATGTGTAGCAGCATTTAATAGATAAGTGAACATGAACGTATTAAGGTTTGAGGTACTATCAAAATGATCTTTTGCACCAACAAAATGATGATGGTTATTGCACAGTAGAATTGCCAAAGGATATATTGCACGTTTCACTTCCTTTAACTGATCATCCGAAAACTATCAATGCAAAACAACTTGTTTCAGTCACAGCTCTACTTTCGTGACAAAAATGTATCTTAATATTGGAAGAACGATTGAGCAGTACACAGATGGGTAATACAATTACTGTTGCACTTCACACAAATGTGTTTTAATTACTTGGGACTTTGTTAACATTCTCTCTGCTAATCTTACCCTTTGGATCCCAGCATGTACTTTGATCATCAGAATTGACCAAAAAACCCTCGCCAGAGCTAGTCATATACAACCCAAAATAAAATATACTATAGTTGTTCCCTTTACCCATTTGTGATCCTTCCAATCAGGAAATGAACAATGTTTAATAATGTAGAATCAACTATCCAAAATAACACCTTAAGCCTAATGGCATCTTCACCAGCCTCTCTGTCCCTGTAACTTCACCTCTGCTTGCTGATGAAACAGTGAATCATTCATAAATTACACAAATATGTAGTGCTCTGAAAGTGCTAGGTTTTCATGTATGAGTACTCTTATTTCCACATGTATTCTTTGATTTTGAAGCCTTATGTTGTTGTGGTTGTTGCGGTTGCTGCATTTTTAATGGCCGTCTAAATTTCCGGTGTGTGGCTTGGCTGTCTGACTAAAAAGTATTCCGTAACTACTCGATAGTTTACATCATCCATATTTCCAGATGTGTTCAACAATTACATCATTCTGCATACGGCAAGTTTTGCTGTAGGTTTACCCTTACCTTTGTGACTCGGGCAAATGAGGTGCGCCTGGGTTGATCCAGAAGTGTTGCAATAAGAGGACATGTAAATATTAGACTGCTTCTTCAGAGAAATGGCTGAGGTGTTTGGAAGTTTTGTTTGCGACCACTAGGTTGTGCTGTGTCGAATCTTTAAAAGATTCATTGTTTAATGACTGGTTAGTGTGTTGACACTGTTGACATGTATGTTGGAATAGGTATAATGGGATTTTTATTTTGTATTGTTTTCAGTTTTGGTGGAGAAATGGTTGTCTAGGTCATACATTATTGAACAAGTTTCCATTAAACATCCACTTACTGGGCAAGTGCACTTAATAAAGTTATAAAAAAACTGAGTTTTGACCTCTTTTAAAAAATACTCTTTAACATTTGAATTGAACAAATGTTAACGGAAGACACAGAACAATGCACAACACAGAAACAATTTGAATCAGAAAAACGCTCACCTCTCAGAACTAAGAAAAGGTGACCGGACCCTCACAAACAGCCCGTTGTGCCCCTTGAGATAGCCTGTAATCTTTCATGGGGGAGTGTTGCAAAGCATACCAAAGGGTGACTTTGTTCTGCCCTTCTACTCCAAACTAAGAAATGTAAGCTCACTATCAGAGTCATGTGTCATATTGGCTTCCTATTGGTCAACCCGAAAGAATGGGATCAAAGCGAAGGCAAAGCAGTGAAACTGACGATGAAGACCTGTTCTTGGCAACATGAAGAAGGCCAGGACATGTGAATGAGGTCTGAAGGGTCTGTGTTTACGTGTGTATGTGTGTGTGTGTGTGTGTGTGTGTGTGTGTGTGTGTGTGTGTGTGTGTGTGTGTGTGTGTGTGTGTGTGTGTGTGTGTGTGTGTGTGTGTGTGTGTGTGTGTGTGTGTGTGTGTGTTCCTATAGGCTGCTGAGATGATGGATGATGAAGTGGACCCAGACTCCCAAAGCTGGGGAGGCATGAGAGGTGAGTGAAAATCAATGCACAATGTTTATCTCCTCTTCTGTGTTCTTTTCCTCCTAATGGTAGGATTTGCACCCTTTTTCAGTGCTAACAGTGCTTCAATTGGAAATGTAAAATACTATACACTCAAGCACACACTGCAAAACCTGCAGACATTTGGACGGTAGACTTTCAATCTTTTTGACACTTTGGATTTAAAAATTCTGACCCAGATATGAAAAAACAATAATAAAAGTGCTGAATGTCTTAAACTTCCTATAGCTGTTAGCAACAAATAAATGGATGTTTATTATAGAAACACTAAGTAGAACTCCCAAAAATTATTTCACAATATATTACAAGCCCCAAAAGAGACCCTTTCCCTCCAGATAATAGTATAATTTAATAATCTTAAACCATACAATGTAAAACGGCCTGTGTCATCTTTCCTTTAGTACATATCTTAGCTCAGTTTACAGTCCCTGATTACATTGTGACCAATCATGCAGAGCCCTGCAGCTCTGGCTCCAGATCAGTTACTGGAGGTAACAATGTTGGGCGATGATGTCATCTTTCCAACTGCAGAATTATTGGTGTGTGTGTGTGTGTGTGTGTGTGTGTGTGTGTGTGTGTGTGTGTGTGTGTGTGTGTGTGTGTGTGTGTGTGTGTGTGTGTGTGTGTGTGTGTGTGTGTGTGTGCGTGCGTGCGTGCGTGCGTGCGTGCGTGCGTGCGTGCGTGCGTGCGTGCGTGCGCGTGTGTGTGTGTGCGCTTGTGTGCGTTTCAAATAAAAAGTTTTTTTTTCCAGCAGACTAATTCTCTCTTTCTCTCTTTTCATGCCTCTCAGAATACAAGGTAAGATTTCCCTCATTTGGTAATACATTAGGAATAACAGTCTTGGCTGCTTATCCTAATAAATCTCCCACAATGCTTACTCTCTGTGTGCCAGATCTACCCTTATGAAGTTCTGGCAGTGACGCATAGAGTGAAAGTGAAGCTTCCCAGGGACGTGGACCGCACCAGACTGGAGGTGAGCTCTAATCCTAATCTAATCTAACATAGGCCGTTAAGAGAGAAGTGAAGGCACAGCCAGAGAGCTGAAATAGGAAGGATCAAGTATCAGCCAGGTCTTTCATTTCTGTAAAGATGGTTTCCAAATGGCCTCCTTTTGTTTTTATAAACAATGGATAACTCTTTGGCCAGAAATATGTGGACAGGGGTGTCATTATTGGAATTGTATTGTGTCATGATACAGGCTAGGCTCCGTGTCAGAGAGCAGCTCTGAGTGAAGTGTTATCTCAGAAAAAAAAAAACAATTGTAGTAGAAACAAAAAAGGAAAACCACAGGAGCTCATATTTAATGCCCAGTGCCCAAATTATTTTTAGACTACATATCTTTCACTTTACTTCAGAAAGAAAAAAACTAATTTAGTTTAATATAATACAATTAAAATCGATTTCATTTTTTCTCTACCCGAATTATATTCTTGACAGCTTGGTGAAATGTTTGCGAATGGATTTTGAGTATCATGTGATAGGATACAATTGGCATTACATTGAATTGATAAGTTAAAAATGCAGATTTACTTTTTGTTGCTGGTGAAAATAAATGTTGTAGGGGGTTTAATTTGGGGGGTTGAAATTACCATTTTGAGCTCGACAGCCTTCTGTGTATCTATCCTCAAATGACTTGATGAATAATTAGGAACCTACAGAAACCTAAAGATACATTTCACATCCATTTCAGTTCAATGTTGATTCAATACAAATGGATTCAGCAGGGATTTCATATTAATTCAGATCAGATAGCATATTTTCAATTGTTAATTTATTGAATTAGGTTTAATCCACCCAAAGTAGAAACATTGATGGAAGGATCTTTAGATATCCTGCTACATCAGTAAAAGTAAACAGTGTTTTTTAGAATGATTGACGTGTTCTAAAAGAATGCTACCTTAAACCAGCTTGGATTGCTGGTGATTTCATCGTCAGGCACGATAATGCTAGTTTATGTGAAGATACTGAAGCCTTGAGTTTTATTTAGATGAGATCTTTATTTTACAGTATTAACAATAGTGTCCTCTCAACTCTCTGGCATTAGTCTCCATCAGTCCTCAACCAAACTAACACTACTGTGGTTGATCAGAGGCCTGTACTACGAAGCCGGATTTTCCTAACCTGGATATGTTTGAGTTAGCCGGTTGGCCTAATCCAAAACATACGCGCTCTCGCTAAGCGGTCCTACGACGCTGGTTATCAAGTGGATCGCTCAAGCCAGCCGTGTCCTATCTAGTTAGGTGCGCGTTCACATGAAAGGGGTGGTATTTGGAGCATTCGACCAATCACAAACATGGACAAGCGTACTGACAGCGCAGCGTCATACTTCCTGAATGAAAAGTGAACTTTAATATTAGTCAAATATGAAGAAGTTGAACTTTAAACATCCATGACTTAAACACTTTATCCAGGATAAAAGCCACATAGCTGCACCTGCAAGGTGAATACAGCTGGTAAAAGAAAAAGTGTTTGAATGCGTACATTAACAGGTTTATGAAATCACTGCCCCGTCCAAGACACGAGTGGATCTGACTTTAATTACATTTGACTCCAGTGTTTCGTCAACTTAATGTGTTGCTTAAAATAATACTTCTGCATACAGTATGTGACACTGTGAGTGTTGCACGGCCAGATACGGCTCAGCTGACTCAGATAAGGAAATATATGATACATTATGATGTGATATGATATGAATGATAATGGGACACATCGACGTCTGCACTCACAGTGCCGCGGACTGTACTTAATGTTACTCTGATCAGGTTACATGTTGTGGCAGATATTTAAGTAAGCTTTCTTAACTCTAATATTATAATAGTCAGATTGCTCTGAAGATGGGAGGTGATATTCTATTCATTTTCACGTTCACACAGTCAGGTGATTTTTGCCGGACGTCTTTCCTGCGACGGCAGTTTTTCTGTATTTCCTCTATCCTGTAATATGACTTGATCGCTTTAAACTCCGCACACTGAGCTCTGATTGGTCAGCAGGCTTTCACTGAGTTGATCTCTTAGCCTGCAACCAAACCTCCTCCCGAGGCGGTTAGCCGCTCAGCATAAGTTACCATGGAGTTCTAGCCCGCTAAAAAGAGACCCAGCATCGTAGGACCGGAAAGCCCGAGTTTTCCCTGAAGTCAGCCGGCTAAGCGAAAATCCGGCTTCGTAGTACAGGCCTCTGGTGAGAGGCTGACGGACAGCAGAATAACGTCATGGTTTTGGAACGCGGTGTTGAACTGTGATATGGGTTATGCGACTGGCCATGTGGTGTTTTTTGCTGCCAGATAACTATGAGTTAAAGAGGTGACAAGCCAAGAAAAGTCCAAAAAGTGTGAAATTGTCGTGAATTGAATATAATTAAATATTATATAAGTAGTATGAGTTTAACTTCCTGATTTAGTATCACACTACTTGCTCTTACACTGGGTCAGGAAAAGTTACATTTTTTGTAATTACATTTTAAGCACAGTTTGACTACATGTCCTTTAATAACACATTTCCTGCAGTTCTTATTCCAGGGTTCTTACGGTCATTAAAAACCTGGAAAAGTCATGGAAATTCAAAATGCTAATTCCAGGCCCTGGAAAAGTTATGGAAAACAATATTTTTCCCAAAGTTTTGGAAAAGTCATGGAAATGTAACTAAAGTTGCATCAAATATAATTTATATTTGATCTAATCGCCAAAATAGTAATACTATAATGATAATAAATATTGTATCGTATAGTAATGAAACGTAAAATGGCATTTAACTGACGAGGTATTTTGCTGGTGAGAGATTTTAGTTGCTTTAGCGTGTAGAAGCTAGTAAGCCTATTGGATTTGGTTTAGATAGGCACAACATGTTTCATATGCAGACCTTATTTCCTGTTCCATTTTTAAAATAAAGAATTTTCAGTGTTTTGCTTAAAAGTAAATGTAATTTTCTTTTGTGCTATGCTTTTGCAGAGACATCTATCTCCTGAGGACTTCCAACAGGTTTTCTGCATGACCCTGCAGCAGTTTGACCGCCTGGCCCTCTGGAAGAAGACCGATCTGAAGAAGAAGGCACGTCTCTTTTAGAAAAAAGAAAAGTGTCTCAAGAAGCATCCGTCCTGTGTTCCACAAAACCGAAAAATAAACGCAACCCATTTGAAATATCTATATATGCACCGCCGTGATACCCCTACTTTCCACCTGTCAAACGCCATGCCATCTGCCTGATGCCGGAGAGGAAGCTGTTCCCTGTGGAACCTTTCACCATGTTAAAGCAGCATCTGAAAACGTTTGTATGCAATGTGCTCCGAATGTTTGACTGACAACTCTACAGATGAGGATGAGGAGCTGCGTTTGCATGGCCTGTGTTGATGCTCCTCGTCTGCATCCCCCCCCATCTCCATGCTTTCAAACACCATGGCCAAATATACGCATTCAGAATAATTCTGGTGCCGGACTATCCCCAGCTTCATGTGTTTCTGAGTGTCTTATGTGCAGCTTCTTATACTCTGTCAGTCCTGACATTTGTATGTTTTTTTATCAGCAACTAGTTTGTTTCATCATCTGTCTCTACATAACATTGTTTTGCTTCTCTCATTTTTCTCTCTTGCTGTCTCTCCATTATTTAAAATGTTCCTTCATCAAGTCATTTAATTGTAACCGTTACTTTAAGGCAGTAAGGCGACCGCAGACTTGAAGAACAAAGATGAGAATAAGAAAAACGTCAGTTTCTGTGATCTCTTTCTTCAAAAACGGTCAAAAAGCACCTTATCATACACTGTGTTCCTCGCTGGGGAGTTTTGATATGTGTTCCCTTATCTTACGCAAGCATCCTGTAAATCAGCACTGATAGGAGAGCCGAGGCTGGATAGGGGCGTGACATGGCAGTAAATCACAGATAGAGAGGGGGGTGTCAAAAAGGAGGAGGCCAAAGGAAGAGCCCTGAAGAAAACATGTATCACAGTTTCAGGGTGTGCAGAGGTGTCAACAAACAAATGAAAATATTTTTTATAAGCTATTGTTGACTTCTGGAAAGTATCATTCAACAGTCATGAGACACAGCTGAAAGAAATCATGATTTTGTTACATGGGGAAAAAAAGCCCATGCTGACTTCTTTGTGTGCTGCTTCACAGACCTGCAGCAGCACTTCTGCATTATAGGTGGGGATTTGCTTGATTTAACTCAAAGCTCTAGCTGTGTTATATCTTCCTCAGATAGATATTTACCTCCTGTATATGTTTGTTGTTTGTTTGGAAGCTTTGTTGCATACAGTAAAAGCTCCACATTTAAGCTGAAGTCCATAAGCTTTGCTTGATGATTTCTGGACTATAAAACTCGCCAACGTACATACTGCAAGATGTATCTGAACATATACTGGACATATACCAGACATATTTTCCATATTTGTCACCTAACAAGCCAAGGTGTATAACTCTTCAGGCATGCATGAGGGTTGGAAAACGGGGTTTGTCCACTGATCGCAGATAACATATGTATGAAAACATTATCAATGTGTTTTGAGTGATTGATTATTTAAATTGCATTAACTGAAATGCCCCGGTCAGCTGCTTACATTAGCCTATATTATGTATTTATTTAATTGCATTAGGAAAGGATTTTATTTTTGAAATCTTAAGGGTGTAGTGTAGAATGAATAGCATCCCGGAGAAGAATGCTTTTGAAAAGAAACATATCAACTTTTGAGTTTAATCTGAGTGTCAAATCATTTTTGCTCCTGTAAGTTACACACTAACTGTTGTCATTACTGTCATGACCTCTTTCTAACATTCATCTGCTATTAAAGTGTGTTATCCAAACTACAGTCCCTATGGGTTCAAGTGCTTGAGTTGGTTACATTGTTGCCTAAAATCCAATACTTATGAATCGACCTTTACGTGTGTAACAAATAGGTGTGTGGATGTTTTTTAGGATGGAGAATTGAGTTGTAGTGTAACTACATCATATTTTTCCAATAGTTAAGGATAAAGTTCATCTTAAGCTGGGGAGAAAATTAATCAATCAATCAATGTTTATTTATATAGCCCAATATCACAAATGTTACATTTGTCTCAGTGGACTTCACAGTTTGTACAGAATATCAGTATGACAATACGACACCCTCTGTCCTTAGACCCTCACATCGTACAAGGAAACACTTCCAGAGAAACCCCACAGTTTAAAGGGGAACATGGGAGAAACCTCTGGGAGAGCAACAGAGGAGGGATCCCTCTCCCAGGGCGGACAGACGTGCAATAGATGCCGTGTGTAAATCGAAGAGATAATACATTTTACAGCGTAGGTAGACCAAATGTTTGGAAATGTATGTGTCTATACTGTAATAAGAAGATGAATCCACGAGGATGTCAACAATCCTGTGGGAGCCATCAGGGAAGTAGTATGATGAGAGTCAGGCAGGACCACAGTGATAGGTTCAGCAGGACCACAGTGACAGGTTCAGCCACGACTCGAAATCCAGGACTCAGATCAGGACTCAGGATCAGCCACGAAAACCCTTAATTTAGAGACACAATGGCTTGTGTTAGAAACTGCCATAAGGATGTTTTAGTGTCTAATGTTATATAGAAATAGCAACAATGACATTAGACCTCCAACTTCCAAATAAAGTGGGAACTAATCAGGCTAAACTGGCTTCTCATCAACATTTGTGATTGTCTAACTATCTGTTCCTTAAACGTTGGAAATATACACTGATTAACATTGAGACTAAGTGGATCAGTTGGTTCCATCCGGCGCTCCATGCATGCACATTTCCCGATCCACACATCACGTTACGTGGTTTCGCAGGAGTTCCACGTTATTTGGCTGTCTTTGCATTAGTTTACAGTGACTAGGGAATGGCAATGTGACATTATCAACACCTAACTGGCCATCTTTGAGAGACACCTGCAACCTGAACATGGTCGGTTTACAACCAACAGTGTTGTGTTGCTGGCTGCAACAGCAAATCAAGAAAAATGACTATTGGATTACATTTAATGCATTTGCAGCATGGAGACTTTATGAGAAAGGGGTAGCAGCAACGAGATGGCAAGGTGGTCAGCTTGGGAGGCAGCCAACTGCTGACTATTTGTTGCTAAAATAATTGCTGGACTACAGTAACACAAAACATTACAGAGGGAATGAGATTTTAATCATGAAATGTAGTAGTTTAGATACCTGCAGAATAATTATGCGTGATAAACCTCAGTTTTTGAACATTCCGTTAGCATAACATTAGCTATCTTACCTTTGTCCGGATGTTTGTATAGTTGTTATTGGGTCTGTAGATTTGAAGGTCCTACCAACTGTTTAAGATGTAAATTAGGATATTCACCTCCAAAGAGTAAACATTTTCAAATTTGACGTTCTAGTAACTCACTTAAAACTCCAGATGCCGACATCAATACCAGTGATTGGTGGAAAGTTGTCAAGATACTTTGACCATTCTTCTCTTAACTCTTAACTCTTAACTTAAAATAATGCCTCTGTCAAAAGCTTCTCTCTGTAAAGACATTTTTATTTTGTGCTTAATCATTTTGGAAGCAATACAGCTGACAAGCTATGGATATTGAGGCCTGCATCGCCCCAGAATGCAACACGGTTCCCATTCCCTATATCATATTCATGTTGGTCATGGCTGAAACAACAAATCTCCTGACAACCATTATATCATTTTTTCTCTTCTTACCGGAAAACCAGCTAGAGGTGCGTACATCACCAAATGGAATTGAATTTGAAAGAAAACAGGACATCCGCAGGTGAAGGCCTTGGTAACAGCCTTGGTTTCATGGCCTTGGCTAATGACGTAGTTTGCACCACCCTTTAAGATACCTTGCTGAGGGAAATATAAATTGGCCTTAATTTAGTGGGGTACAAGGCTCCAAATGCTTTGAATTGTGATTAATCCCCAATAGATTTTTTTTTATTTGCAATAAGTGTGCAATTTTCACATTAGAATAATCCTGCGGCACAGCCCAAAAAGTTACAAAATGACACATTGTAGCCTAATACAGCGTGTATACAATGACAAGTCTCTCAATGTCGTAATACTCAATGAGTGTGAAACCTAGGCTTGTTTAGAACAACACAAAGCTGATTTCCCAAAATAGTCCGTGTTTTACTTTTGAAGTGACGGGGGTTCATTTGGAGAGCTTGCTGGGGACATTGCAATGTTCCAAAAAAAATCTATTTTGTATTTTTCAAACAAAGACATGCTACATCAGAGTATTAGTTAGAAAAAAGCCCATCCAGACTAGTTTGAACAGGGTGTGAAGAGGCGCTCTCCCTGGATGATAGGAGTGCAGGCCAGCTGGGTGCAGATCTCAGAGCCAGCTGGCTCTGCCTTTACTTTTGATTCTTCAAGTGTATTATACTAATAGATTAGTATGGATTATATTTCACACCATTAATCCAAATCTGCAAATTAACTAAAGGCACTACATCAATGTAGTGGAGTAAAATACAAGATGTACCTCTAAATTGTAGTGGACTAGAAGAACAAAGTAGCAAAACATTTAAATACTCAAGTAAAGTACAGGTTCCTCTAAATTGTACTTGAATAAATCTACTTAGTTACTTTACATCACTGGTTACAGCAACAGAGGGCTAGAAGCTAAACCCCATATTGTCCTCTTTCACTGAGCTAGCAAGGTCCCACATGGCTAAGAAGCACAAAGGACCCGCCTCTTGTAACGGAGACCTAGCCTACAATTGGCTGACACTGCTGTCAATCACTGCCTGGGTTGACAGGCGCACCCGCCCTGCCTCTATTGTCACCGGTGCGAGGAATATATATCTTAAACATGGAGAAGGACGAAAACATCAGAGGTGAGCCGCTCTCACACACTTTGTTAAGTTATCATTCATGTACTAATGTTCCCTGCTGGCCTTTAGCTTGTTGTTAGCTCGCTCACTATCGATGTCTTCAGTGGATTCATTGAAAGGGGAGTGATTTAGGCTTGTACTTTATTTTATGTAGAAATGTTTTAAAAAAAAGCCGTACCTAGCTTATTATCGACAATTGACAATGGATTCCCATGAGCATGTACGTCGGCTGTCCTACAGTAGTTTCTATTCAACGTGTGTAGGCTACTTTAGTGTTTTTATTAGTCCAATTACAGACCTACAATATGTAAGGTGATGGGTGCTATTTACTCGTGCCACTGCCTTTTCAAGGGAAGTTTACTTAAATGTTGATTTAATAGCATCTTAGCATCATTCTTGTTATGGTATTACTACTACCATAATATACCGTAATATATATTAGAGCTAGTAGTACCTTTTTTATTTATTTTTTATTATTTTAATTCAATGTTAACCTTATTTTACGGCAGGCCTAAATAATGGTAGATGTAGTGAAAACGGGGATATTGTGATGTGTTGGAGTGTACAGATGAGTCGGTATTAAAGTGAGAGTCAGTGTTGTGAATGGACTGAGGGATACAAAGGACCATGTGGGGAGAGGAGAGACAGCAGGGAGAGGTGGAGGAAGGAGGGTGATTGATTGGCTGAATGGCTGAGTGGGGGAGTAAACCCTGGGCTGGAGGCTGCATGCTGCTCCAGCATCAGCAGCCTGCAGGAGGACCAGCTGGGGCCTCAGTCTCTGTCAACTCCCCTTGCTGTGACCTCCAGACAACAGTATATTTCTACTGAGAAGAAAAAAGCTATATTCATGTATTTATTAAATGTATAACTTTTGGACATCTTTATATTGAGGATGTTAAGATATTTAGTCAGGGCTGTCAAATACAACAGAGCAACCTGACAGAGCTGTACAGTTATAGGCTGAAACTGATAATAGGATAAAACAATGATAACAATGGAACATCTATAGGCTAGCCTACGGATTTCTTCAAAAAAAGCAATTATATTGTTTACCATCGTCCAGAAATGAACATATTACAAAACCAATGATCAGAATAGAGGCAGGCAACTTTCTCTCAATCAACTAATCAATTCATTTACTAATCATGTCAGCCCTATTGAAAATACTCAAGTTACATATTGTGCACAAACTGTATTATACAGACAAAACAACTTTATATTTTGCACAGGGATTTTACAAACCTTTGAGAATTAAAATAATTTCACAGTACATTTTACTTTCCATTATATAAAATAAGACATCCTCAAGTATTAAATGTTGTCAACAGAAGCACAAGAAACTGACAGTACTCACACAATTCAGTCAAAACCAAAAAGGCATTAACCTACAATGAATGTTTTCGGACTTCATTTGTATGACTGTCTCCACTTACCCTACCTTAACTGACCTGTGTGTGTGTGTGTGTGTGTGTGTGTGTGTGTGTGTGTGTGTGTGTGTGTGTGTGTGTGTGTGTGTGTGTGTGTGTGTGTGTGTGTGTGTGTGTGTGTGTGTGTGTGTGTGTGTGTGTGTGTGTGTGTGTGTGTGGTGTGTGTGTGTGTGTGTGTGTGTGTGTGTGTGTGTGTGTGTGTGTGTGTGTGTGTGTGTGTGTGTGTGTGTGTGTGTGTGTGTGCCTGTGTTCCCTTGGTTGCTTGGAAGTCCATGCCAATCCACCACAGCCTGTCTCTATATGACAATGGACAATGGCAGGCAGACTGTATACATCCTGCTGGCTTGTAGAAAGAACGGAATGGGGGGGTTTGACTGAAGTTTCAATAGAGACATTTTTATCTCATAATGTTTTATTTCCATCCTCGTCTGAGACAAAATAAGATCGGTAAAATCCTCTATTTTCACACTTTACATAAATTGTTTTGATAAATTACTGAATACTTTCTGGCAAATAAATATCTAAGCATGCTCATTTACTGTGGACCAGCCGGACAACATGGTGGCTCACT